CGTTTTCTAACGAATCTTTTTCATGATTTTTAGTTTTAGGTGCTTAATCGAGTTTGTTAGTCTTAAAATAAAATTTAGAAGCGTTCTTTTGTTGAAATTTCATATTTACTGAAGACTAAATCTCCCTCCTATACCGAATCCCCCTATTCTCAAATCCCAAATGCCTAAATAGCAACTGTATTTGTAACTGTAACTTTTTGGTGTTACGGGTGCCCGTAGGCGGCGCCGATTGTCTACCATCAGGTGATCCTGTCCCATAAATGATATGTACTATATGAAATTGAAGATTAAAATTAGTTTTACCTCTAACTCATAATTCCAGTTTCTTAATTAATGTCACCGGTACAAATGTATTGCAATATCCCAGAGCTGCGTACCCCGAATCTATAATTAAATTCATTTTAAATATAGAAACCATACATTTTCACCTAAATGTCTCACTTGGAGACTGGAAACAGTTTATTTTTCATAAATTATTCTATTTCTATGTGTTGTCTATTCCTGTATTACTTTGAATACGATTTTGTCATTGACGCAGTCTCGTCTTTATGTCTCCTATATTCAACGAACTACATAATATAGGTGATAAAACTTTTTGCCTTTAGTTTTTAGGACGTTGGCAGGTGTGTGAGACTCAACATTCAATTTTATATGACTATTTAATAGAAAAAGCTCAGAAAGTAATTTGGAAATTAGAGGTACATTATTATTTTCGAATACGAACGCATTTCTATATGAAAAATGTTCCTGATTTAAACTACATTGTCGAATTAATGGCTTTTCCGAAATGTCTGCAGAATAATAAGTTATTTAAACGATCGTTAAGAAGTTTGACTATTAAACCCTACTTGGATACTTTTACGATTTTACACAGAAGATCCGCATTATCGGATTTAAGAGAGAAATGATTCATGCAAAACTGTTTCATTTGTGTTTTTTGGTTTTATTGTTTAGTGGTTCGACAATTTAACTTCGTCCGGAGCTTCTAAAATTCTTGTCTAAAATATGAAGTCTTCCTTATCTCTATCAATTTTTGTGAAAAATACCGCCTAAACCATTAAAACAATCTATGAAAGATTGCTGTTATTATGTTAATTTTACAACACAACCCATGTTCTGTGTACCTCGGCCAATATTTTACGTAGTATTATAAATTGATATTGTCCCTCAATAGTGACGTCCTTGTTGATATTGAAAAAACCAAGTTATTTATGGCTTAAAAGGTTAAAAAATACTTGTTTTATAAGTGTCCAAGATTTTACACCTACATTTTTTATTTATCTGTAAGCTGTTCGGAAGCCAGGGATTAAACAGTTTTTTGTGTTTTTGTCTGTTCAGTAATACTTGAATGTTTAGTTCTAAGTAAGTCATGCATGCATAACTATTATTAGTTTGGGGACATTTTCTTTACTAAAAATATGAAATGTAATATAGTTTAGAAAGATTGTCTGTAAGAAATCGCATCTGTGATAAGACCGCCCATTGTACACATTCTTTTTATGTTTATTTTTCTTTGTATGCTTTTATGGTGTACAATAAAGTGTAAAATAAATAAATGTAGTTTTAAACTACAGTCTATATTTAATGCGAGATACAGTTTTTTATACATTTATACTTTTGAGAATCGACGACGAAAAGTTCTAACACTCTCCTGAAATAGGATAAAAACGCTAATTGAGCATAAATATTCACGTTAAAATATAAACAGATAAAGAGTAGAGACAGCGTGTATAATTTTCATAGTCAAGTATCGTTTTTCTTTTAAATCGTTACCGAGTTGAAGACTTATCAGTCGCGGCTGAATGTCAATATTTTACCCGACGAGTGCTATGCTAATTTCGACAATCCAATTACTCGGTACTTATTATAGATACTTTTACATTCCGTTAAGGTAAACCAGTTGTTATACTTTCTGTAAACTGTAGCATCGACGTTTTTTGGTAAAAATTTGTAATTTGGCTTTTATCTGAAGATTTTTTGACTTGAACGTGAATAGATGAAGTATATAATTGGTAGCTAAAGGTGATTGAACATTTGCGTGATGATAAATGCAGATTATGTTTTAGCAAAAATTAAATAGCTCTTATAGAGGACACTTCTCTATTCTTATAATTCATTCCCTAGTTACAAAAGCATAACTTCAATCAGTGTAATTTACGAAAAGGAAACAAGGAGGAGAATTAAGCCACAGAGTCAACACACTAATCGTTCAAAATTGTTTTTGAATCTTTCTTGTTTATATTTGCTCTCAAATAAGTGATACAAAATAAATGCATAACTAAATATTGTCAAGTATTTTGAATTTTCCTGCAAATGCGTTTTGTCGCTATGAAGTCGAATTTCATTTCGCGAGCAAACCTGTTGTCTGTTTTAATCTTTAAGCTTCATTAAAGCATTATCACATCACGGTACCAGTTCTTGAGACCTCTCAATTGTTCAATTTTCGTTTTATGAATAAGATTTTTCTTTGTCGCTTTTTGATTTTCGTGTGTTGTGTGAAGCGATATATTTTATATGTTGCATCTTAATTATGTCTTTAAATTGAATTTTTGTTTGTTATACTGGAATATTATTGATACGTTTTGTATCGATACGACTTAAAATTATGATTGTGATTATTTGGTAATAACTTATTTAGGGTCAATTTTGTTAACGCTAGTTAAATTTTATTAGAGGAATAAGTTTGCATATTTGACAATTCTTCCATACTAAAAACTGTCGATTGTATTCTACAGTTAAGAATTTAACTGATTTATGAAAAGTAAGGCCTAGTTAGGTCATGAAGGGCTGATTTTTCCAACGCCAAATAAGTTTTAACTGAGAAATAACTTTAAATATTTGCCAATTCGTCCGTACTAAAAACTGTCACATGTCAATTTTATTCTATAGTTAAGAATTAACTGATGATTGAAAAATCGGCCATAAGGTCATTAAACTGTTTGACGTGATGGCACTTAATATTATTCTAATAATTTTGTTTGAATTTCTCTTACTTGACTATTTTGTTTTACTAAGCAATTGGTATAACTTCTTCTGATGTTTTCAACTTATAATTTATTACTTTTAAATGTTAGAAAAGTATTCTTACAGATCTTCTGTCGAAGCAGTGAAATATGAAAGACAAACAACTTTTTCTTTACTTTATAAATAAGAAATTCTTTGGAACAATCTCAGTTTTTGTTAAACTTGATTTTTGGAAGTTTTTTTTTATTATAAATATTGGTATATTCTGAACAGTTCCGCATAATTATTTTAGTCGAGTTTTATCTTATATATTAGAAGGACTTTCCTAGGAAACTTATATTGTGTATCTTTGGAACTTTTTTTTTTATTTATGTATTTTTAAGGCCTGGTTTTCATTACTTAAGTTTCCTTTATATATATTTTAGTGTCTAATAACAATTATACCAAATTTAAATCAAAGTAATAATTGTAGTAGTAGTCAATTAATGTTGATTAGTATTAGTTTACGACACGGTCGGTTACATTATTGTTCTTTTTTAATTTATTATATCTTTACTTATGAATTTATTTAATTGATTAACTACATATAACCATGTAACAATATGGGTTATAATCACCTGTTAATAAATAAAGTACATTTTGTTTCTAAAACATTTTGTAGTTGCATTGTAAATATAATATATTAAAATTATATATTAATTAAGCTACATCTTTGCAGATTTGTTGCGATAAACTCTAACTTCCAGGTTAGGTTAGATTAGTATTACATATTCTAGATTTTTTTAAGTTACCCGTAACTTATTGGATATTATTTTTAGTCCTCCTACCTCTAGATTAATTTTATCCAGGCACTAATTGTCAACTTAATATATACACATACGTGTAGTATACATAACGTATGTGGTACATACACATGGCATATTTTAGTTTATAGCTTTTATGTTACCCAATTCCCCACATGATATAAGACAAATCTAGAAGATTTACGACTTTCTGCTTACATCCAGGTAAAGGAAAAGAAATAACCACGAAAAAAAAACAATGGCATAAAAAAATTCGCATCAGATAAAATTTTTTTATTTAATTTGAAATTATAATTATACCATATACCATACTGTGAACTCCTAAATCAAAAAAGGTATCAAAAATTCAAAACAATTTAGAATTTTTCACGATCGAAAATATTACGTGAAGCGTAGATTGTTACGTAAAATATATGGTTTTAATCTACATTTATTTATGTCTTCATCAGTTTGGGGATCAATTAGTATTATAATATAAAAAAATAATAATAATGCAACGTCTCCTTAATGCTTCGATTTATAAAATACATATAGTTATAAAGGTAATACCATTGGCCGACACACATAATACATCGTGTCTCCTAATTCAACAATTATGTTGAATAACGTCCTGAACGGAAATCAACTGCTAGTTTATTTTAATAATAAAAAGGACATTTTAAAATGTAGGTTAAATTGTGACGTTAGGGGGCTATCTTTGCTTTAATGGCGCATTTACTGACATTAATATTTGTAGATGGTGCTTTCTACCGAAATCTTGGCGGCATTTCAAATACTACCGCAAACTATATTTATTATAACAAATTGTTTAAATAAATGGTGTGTCATCGAGCCACAACACCGGCTTCGATCCCCGTGCGGTGCCTTACTTAATACCCTTCAGTCTAAACTTAAAAATTAAAGCACACGTCACCCTGTTCTATATAAATCCACTGGGACTTTGTACCCATTTTCCAACCGCAAACAGTAATCTAATGTTCATGGAACATGGTAATTTGGAGACCATTTCCATTTATATAACTTTGGCGCTGGATATTTGGCACAATAATTTCGGCTGTTCGAATTCGCAAATGCGAAACAATGTCACCAACCTTGGAAAAACTGTAAGATTTGAAATGAAAACAGTACAAGAAAGCAAGGTTTCCGGTAATGAGGGAAGGCAGGAGCGCAACAATGACGGCCGGCTTCTGCAGCTCGGCTTTGTCCACCCAAACTCGGATCTTGAAAAATTACTTCATTCAACTTTGCCGAAATTGTATTCGCTCTTTGCAGTAACGACAACGACAATTTATACGCGCTTAACTATCGTCTACATGACGGCTGTCAGCATACGATACGCGGGAACCGCACCACCGGGAAGTTGAAACTGGCTTTTCGGAACAGTTGGCGCGACGGAGCCGATTGCGCGACGATGGTCCGCGCTCGCATCGGGCGGCGTCTGGACGCCGTGCTGTGGCGACTATGCCGAGCGGCCGCGGCGGCGCCTCCACGCTACTGCGGCACGCGCCCATCCGCGCTGCCCCGCGCCACCGCGACGCATCCCCCTAGCGCGCCGCGCGCCCCGCACTCCTACCGCGCTACCGCCCGCACGCACGCCGCATTCTTGCGTTCAGCTCGCCCTCAAGCGCGGATCCGACCCGCACAAAGAACCTAGACCACTTTGGGGGCGACTACGTCACTTCGACTATATCCACGCTTTCTGCAGTACGCCGCTCACTCGCAAAAACTACCACCACATGTTACATTGCAGATGTCGTTAACAATTATAAACAAACTTCACACCAATCCGATACTAAACTTGGGGCAGGAGACTTTTTTAATGGCGGGTATTTACAATGGTTCGCTTGAACAGTTAAAATTCGCTGCAGTGCCATTAATTTGACATCAGGCGTCTAAAAGTAAATTAGTGGCGCTGAATGGGATGCAGAGCGGCTCCAACCAGTGCAGAGACAGAAGCGATTGAAATTTCGAATATTTGTGGTTTAACTGTACGGTTGGGGCAATAAAAGGGTGAATGATGTCTGTGCAATGTGTTTCTAAACTTAAACGGGAAATTCATGTGTGATCCAGAAAAATTTGTTCCGGTTTGGATGTGACGCGTATGTGAACACAATAATATTATATACATAACTACGACACAGGAAAAAGCCTATCTTGGGCCCACGTTTTCAGAAATCAAATAGAAGGTAAGGGTTGATCGCTGGCGCGGGAAGCTTATCGGAACTGTGTCGCCAACTTTATTCCAAGTATAGAGCTCCACCACATCAACAACAATCTATCATTCATGACGGTCATTAGAGGAATTACATTTGTTGACACATGACGCTGTACTTATCGTGGAAGTCTCAAGTGTTTGAACTTTGTGCATAAAGAAACGAAGTATTGAATAAACACGCTGCAAGTTCCATGTTCAAATATGTAGCCAACACTGAAGACAGAGTTAGTGCAAAGATTTGAAATTTAATTTCGAAATACCTGACGTTAGAGACGTACGAGATGAGTACGGCTTCACTTTAATCGTCTTATACAGTTTAAATAGATAGTTAGAACATGCACACATTACGTAGAAATGAGTTTACTGATATATACAAACTAGGAAACAACTCGTACACCTGATTGGTAACTAGATCGGTTGCCGGAAACGAGCCGTGCTGACTGGTAAATTACGAACAAGTTTATTTGTAAGGAAATAATTGCGACGTTTGTTTCGACGGTGTTTTTTTTATTTATTGCTAGCGGCCCGTCCCGGTTTTGTACCCTAGCTTTATATTTTTCTCGGTGTATTTATATTTTTATGCTCTGTACAAACTTTAGCCTAGTAATTACAAAAACGGGAATTATTCAACTTGATGCAGTCATTCGTTTAGTCAGAGATTATTATTTTTTAGTTACTACCTCTAGCTGTTACCAGCGACCTCGTCAGCATAGAATATGATTCCTGTTTTATCCTATGGGAGCATTTAAACAGGATAAGAAGTATCCTGCCAAAAGTCAGCTGCCCTGCCTGTATACTAATTTCATCAAAATGCATTCAGTCATTTCAGAGTGATCGACTGACAAACATTCAAACAAGGAAACTTTTACATTTATAATAATACTGTGATTTATGTATTAATACAGATTAAGTTCGCTGACGATGTCTTGTTCTTTTGTTCTCAAGGCGTCAAGACTTATTGAAAACGTTCATTGATCTCATTAACCACTGAATTGGACTTGAACAGCTTTTTTGTTTCTTATAATAATCGGTTTTAATTTTAACAGCCCTTTGACGAAAGATATTTAAACGCTTATAGAAATAAAAGTCGTAGAAATGAATAAAGTTTTTACACAATACTTACTAAACAGATACAGAAATTCAGTGTGAATTTTCATTGAGATACAAAATAATTTATTTCTAAATATAAATATGAATATTATTTAGCATAACAAAGTACATTAGGTTATTACCTAAATCTTTTCAAAGGTGTTTGTGTCAATAGTTAACTGTCATTTTATTAAAAAAGGTATAAATATTTTTTTATTGAGTTACGACTCAGGAAAGTATGCCTAACTGCCTCATAAACAGAAATAGTATCAGCTCAAAGGACACCACTATCTTCCATAGACATAAAATCTACGCAGAAAACATAGCAGGAAGAAAATATAAGATAGTGATCACCGAGCTTTGTTCTGCATTTTATTTGCATGCAGTTTGAACTTCTCGATTGTTGCTAAGTCTCGGACGTCAGATTATAATCCCGTTGGTGAGTCGTTTGCATATTCCGCAGAGCCTACAAAGCCAACAGGAGCAATTTCTGAGCCATCGGTGTTAATTCGTGCTTGTCCATTGTTTGTTTTGTGTTTCCATTCGTTGTAATGCTTTATGAAATACTGGCTACTTTTGCGCAGTTGTGCCTGCTCTGGTTGGGTCTTATTGGTCAAGTGAAACAAGTGAAACAAGTGAATTTATTTCTGCAAATAGGCTACAAGGCAGCACTTTTACACGTCAATTTTATCAAGCGAACGATGAGGCCGACATTTCCTAACTGACTACTCTGAGAAGAAATGCCGAAACAAACTCAGAGGTCTGTCTCTTTTAAAGTCCAGACAAATATGTATAAAAAGATTATGTGTGAGAACCGTGCAAGTTCTTTCTGTAGTCATAGTGTGATGTTCGATAAATGCACTATCCAACACAAAATTATTCAAATCGAACCAGTAGTTCCTGAGATCAGCGCGTTCAAATAAACAAACAAACTCTTCAGATTTATGTAATAAAAAGTATAAGATGTATGATGTTCAAATATTTAAAAATGCCAGTTTCTCTACTAGTTTCGATTTACAGAGGGACTCTTCCTCATGAGCCGCGTACGCAGACGCGGCGTCGTCGAGCAGTCCTTGGGCTTTTTATGAAAATTTTCGAGAGTAGATATTTTTTTTAAAATAGTATGTCTTACGATATTCATTATACAAATACAAAAAATTAAATTGTTTAAGTTACGTTTAACTATTCTTTAGTGAGTCGTAATTTAAATTATATTTTTTGTCTTTAAATTCTATAAATTATTCTATCATTAAATTTTAGATTTTAGTGATTTCTCATTCCTGTAGAATTCTTCTAAAGTATTGTATATATCGGGAATTTTTTTAACGAATTAAGTATAGTAGTGATTATCTCACGGTCTTAGTAACCATCATATCATAGTATTGTCGTAGCATTTCAGAAAAATAAAGAAAGGAAAAGTCTGCCCCTTCTACTCAGGTAGTCTTCCTTCTCAGCTAACAGATATACGTATAATATAAGTGATCGTTATAGGATACCCAAGTGGTATTCATAACGAAATAATTTACAAAAGAGGAGAAAATTCGAGATCCTGTTAAAAGTTGCCTAAGACGTGGAAATCTTTTGAAGTGAATGGTCAAAAATTTCAGGGTTCGAGCCCTTTTGTGGGAAAGGGTGACCCTTGACGATTGAGGAGACATCAAAAACCTTATGGACGTAACCCTACCGACAGATACGGAAACCAAACACATTGTTTTACTTGAAACGAAGCTTTCCAGTCCAAACTGGTGACTACAAATGAAGAAGTAAAAAAATTGCAATGACATCATAAACTTTCATTATACCGATTACATTATTGTTTAAATTAGTAGATAAAATGTTATATAGTGCACCCAGTTTGTAATACAAGTTTCATGGTGTTTGAAAATGAACATTCTAAAAAGAAAATGCAGATATATTTATATTTTTATATATAACATCAGGCCTGCTATCCCCGATACATTATGGCACTTAATGCCGCTGTACAATGTAACACCCACTTTTCACAAATTACGTTATGAGTCCCATGTAATAGGGGTGAGTCTTTTGCCATATACCGGGCACAGTTCCAGATTTCGTGCCAATACTGAGACATTAAAAAAAACCCAATTATATTATAATTATATTTGTGAGACTAAAATTCGAAATCATTTCAACCGGCAATATACCCTTAGGTACATACAAAAGCTTGTCAGAGCTGTGGTTTTATAAATGGTTTATATGTGTTTTGAGTAAGTCAGAAACACTTGATACCCTTATAAACAACAGTTAGTAAGAAACTACAGAAAATTAAGTCTCAAATAAAAGCGAATCGAACGTTTGGCAAAGCAGTCATCATAGCCACTATTTTATATTTGTATAACAATATAATGATACATAGTTTGAAATAAGTCGTTATATCCGGAGCGTCACAGGAACGTTTAATTTAATAGATATGTGCTGTTAGAAGTGACGTGGCGTCTGCGGCGCGGCAGCGTGGGACTACACAACGTCCACACCGCTTTATGACAGTGTCGCTCATAAAATTGTTATATTTCATAATATTACGTGATATACACAATATACCTGTCTTCAACTTTTAATTCGATTCATGTATCGGTTCCAAAACCGATGACAGTTGTAGTTTTTGTTCTAACATTAATCTTTTGTTTAAAAGATTTTTAATAGCAAGCATAGAATTTGACGTCACACATTTTTGTCATCAAGGTAGTACGGCGTTGTAATTGGTCACAGTAAAATTGTGAATCTATAATAGCGAAAGGAGAGAATAGACGAAAATAGGATTACCAGGAAAATGATGATTACGTTATCCTCATTGAAGAAAAGACTGTGTGGAGCTCTCTATAATTGGTATTCTTGTACGCCAGACGCATGACAAAGATTGCAACTAAAGTAATTTGAATGAATCGAGACTAGGTCTATTTGCGCCTTTCACCTATTAGGTCCACAAACAAATTACTTTAGTCCATAGGTAAAGGTATAATATAATAAAGATGTAAAGCCAAAGTTTATGTAGGTAATCTGTACAATTAATAGCTTTATCAAATCAGAATCCCGAATCTGCTTCAATTACAAAATGTAAAAGTAAAATTATATAAACACTTACAAATTACACGAACAGCGACATTAATATTATGATATATTGCTTTGCATGCATATTGAAAACTCGCCAAA